CAGGCTCCTGTGTCTCCCTGTCTTGAATCCTTTGCCCTCTTTCTCCATTTAGTGATTTCCTTCAAGTCTCAACTCAAGCAGCACTTGCTCTGTGAAGTTCTCCCAAGTTCTCAGGAGACTTCCCTCAGGCTTGGTGCATCCTATCCTAGCCTCTGGAAAACGTAGTGTCTGTTTCCACACGCCTAACTCCTGCTAAGTGCGCCATGTGAGAGCAGGATCCTTACTGCTTTCATCCTGGTGTTTCCTATAACCAGCAAAATGCCTGGCATCCTACGTGTTTGCTGGGAGTGAATGAGTGAATGAATGAACAATTGAATGAATGAATACATAAACTCGACTCTTCCTGTCTCAGGAGATGATTGCACATTCTCGTAGATGATTTTCACTCACTCTTTGATAGATTTACTTTTTTTCCCATGAGGTTCTTTGACTTTGGGGCTTGATCGCAGCAGTCAGTGTATTTACGAACCAGGCCAGCCACAGCAACCCATGGAGGGGTTTGGCCACTTAATTTTTCCCCACATTTCAAAAGTTGGCAGAGCCATGTTCCTTCAGAGGTATTTTCGGTTTATCCTCAAGTTATTTCATCTTTCTGTTCCCATTTCCACATATTCTTAGTTTCTGAAAAGGAAGCTTGGCACGGCAAGGAGTTCCCAGTTTGTCCTCTGGTAGAGCAGAAAGGCAGGACTGTTAGCTTTAACTATTACCTTTAGAACGTTTCAATAAAAGACACTGTAATGGTGTGATTTCTTGGTACATTTATGCATTTACTTATTTTTATTTTGAGAGAGAGAGAGAGAGTGAAAGAGCCACACGTGAGTGCATGTGGGAGGGGCAGAGGGAGAGGGAGAGAGAGAATCTTAAGCATGCTCCATGCCCAGTGCGGAGCCTGACCTGAGGATGGATCTTACAACCATAAGATCATGACGTAAGCCAAAATCAAGAGTCAAGCACTTAGCCCCTGCTTGGAACATTTAATAGTTAATTTCCCGAGCCTCAGTTGAACATGGGCTGTAACTGAGCAGACATCCTGAGCCTGTAGCAGTAAACCTAGCTCCTCCTGGATTTGACAGCTGGAGTCCACAGAGCCAAACAGATCACCTAAGGCTGGTGCATCATTCCTATCTACGATGTTTTCCGTCTTCTCTGGCTTATAGAGGCCGCTGAGAAAAGTGCTCCAAAAAAAATGCTTATTCAACCAAGCTTTGGTACCTGTTTTGAATGAAGTCAGTCCCATGAACTTCTTTGTTTCCTCCAATTTTTCATGCAGCGTCTTATCACAAGCATTTAGGCTTTCAGAAAAATGTAAAGCTCAAATCAGGACTTGCTACACCTGAATCAAAGTTCTGTTTCAAAGTTCACCAAAGTACCAAAAGCGCACACACACGCCGGGTTTCTCAAAAACTACAGTCTACTCTCTGGAGACTCGTTTACATGTGACACTTTTTTAGACACCTGAATTTTTTTTAGTTTCAAGGGCTTTGGCTTGAGTTTTCCACATACTTTTGACTAATTTCTTTTCCACCACAGATATGGACTCTATGAGATCACTGCTCTATGATTTTTCACTACATTTCAGAATTGTAATTTCTTTCAAAAATAAGTAGAACATTTACCATAAAGCACATTCTCAAAAAGACTAAAGTCAGACTATCTCTGATAATGAACCTCTAGAGCCTTTCAAAGACAAGTAAATGACAAGATCAGAGCCATAAATTAAGCAAATGTCAAATTTCTTTTCCACCACAGATATGGACTCTATGAGATCACTGCTCTATGATTTTTCACTACATTTCAGAATTGTTATTTCTTTCAAAAATAAGTAGAACATTTACCATAAAGCACATTCTCAAAAAGACTAAAGTCAGACTATCTCTGATAATGAACCTCTAGAACCTTTCAAAGACAAGTAAATGACAAGATCAGAGCCATAAATTAAGCAAATGTCAAATTTCCTTAGACTTACAGTAAGCAGAGACCCCCTCACCACCCCAATCATATCATTAGGGAGAACCAGAAAAACTCGGGCATCGATCGCCTTCAATATCTTTGAAAAACAGTGAAAGGAGGCAGAATTGCTATTACCTTTGATTCATTCACTACCGTCCCTTCCCTGGTCTCCACACTTGCATTCAACATTGGCTAAGAAATCCTCCCAAAGCGTTCCGGAGCCCGCCCACCACTTTGAATCCCACAGCATCAGGCCCCCATGTGGTAGTCACTTAACCACCCCCCAGTCAGTCTCTCTCATCCTCTGAAAATTTCAGCTCTGGCTCACTGTCTCTCTCTTCAATATTAGTTTTGTCATACTCTTGAGTGATTCCAGGGACCTTGAAGATAATCCTTCCCTGCACCTTTAGCTCTCACTTTCTTGACTTCCTCTTCTCCACTGATCTTGTCTTCAATGCACCTTCCACCACCCTCTGCTAATGGACACATCTTAGACCACCCAAACTGAATGCCCCGAACCTCAGTTTCAAGCTGTCACTTTTTATCCTTCAGTTTCTAACTGTCACTTTATCCTTCAAACCTACTGTCTCTTCCAACGATGCTTTGGTCCTTCTGTTTGCATACTTTGTCAATCCTACACATTTTCCATTGTCCCATCATCTCCTCATTTATTTGTGGATCATATTCCTGGACTTAATCCTCATTTCCCCCTCCACTCAGTTTGAACTCTGAGGTCCACCATTATAATCACCCCTTTCCATAAATTCTCAGCTTCTTGGCTTCTCTTTTTCATCATATGCCCTTGAAAAACCCCAGCTGCACAGCTGAATGTGGCTGCGGGAAAAACACCCAGCCATGGAGATGGTCTCACTTCACATTTATTAGCACAAATCTCAAGCAGATCCTTAATGCTATCCGGCCACTCTGTCGTATCCCTCGGTCTATTCACCCTTCTGCTCTCCTGGGTGTCCTTTCTCCTCCAACGTTCAACATCTCCTTCCCATCCTCACTAACAGCTGATGACCTTGCTTCTGATTTCCACTGAGAATATAAAAGAACTTCTATGAGATACCACCAACCCACCAAGCAGCTTCAAAGCCCATGTACTCTGCCTGCTTTTGAGTTACTCTCTTTAAAAAAATTTTTTTAACGTTTATTTATTTTTGAGACAGAGAGAGATAGAGCATGAGCTGGGGAGGGGCAGAGAGAGAGGGAGACACAGAATCTGAAACAGGCTTCAGGCTCTGAGCTGTCAGCACAGAGCCCGATGCGGGGCTCGAATCCACAGATGGCAAGATCATGACCTGAGCCAAAGTGGGATGCCTAACCGACTGAGCCACCCAGGCGCCCTGAGTTACTCTCTTCTTGTGTCCTTAAGAAACCATTCTAGGTATTTTTCTCTCCTCTCCTACATCATTTTTTTTTCCCCATCTCAAAAGGATTTCCTTCTCGTCGTATAAATATGCTTTCATTTCTTCCATGTGTAAAAGCACTCTCTCTGACTGAGCCCGCCTATCCATCTGCCCCTCCATTCTCTGCTCCCTTTTATAGAAATAGTCATGAAAAGAGTAGCCACCAGCTAGTCACTTCCCATGCTCTCTTGAATCATGCATGAGCTCTCCACCTCCCAAAACTGATCTTTTCAAAGTCATCAGTGAGCACCTTGCTGCTATATGATTAATTCTCGGAACTCATCTTGCTTGACCTGTGAGCAGGTTTTGATAGGGTTAGTCACTCCATCCGCCTTTAAATATTTTCTTCACCTGGATTCCAGGACTCTGCATTCTCCTGGTTCTCTGCCTAGTGCACTGACTGCTTCTTTTCAGTGTTCTTTATTGGCTTTTGCTCATTTTCCTGGTTTCTTAATGTTGGATTTCCCAGGTGCCAGACCACATGCTTCTGTTTTTTTATCTATACTCAGTCCCATCATGTTCTCATCCAGTCGCATGGCTTGAACAGCATCCACATGTTGATGACTTTCAAGTCATCATGTACCTGACCCACACCTCTCCTTTAAAGTCCAGATTCATACATCCATTTATCTATTTGACCCCTTTGTCTTGGATCCCTAACAGGCATCTGAAGCAATACATCCAAAATCAATCTCCCTTCTTCCCCCTCCCTCAGTCTTTCCTCATTCATTCTCCCACATCTCATTTACTGGAAGCCCCATCCTTTCTGCTGTTCAGGCAAACCTCCCCCCGCCCCCCGGTCATCTGTGCCTCTTTTCCTTTGTCCTCCATTCCATGCAGAATCGAACAAAGAACCTGCCAGCCTCTACCTTCAAAGCAGAGCCATAATCTGACCACCTGTCGTCACCTCCTTAGCTACCATCATGGGCCAGACTCTCTTAGGTTACAAGGATAGTTCTTATGGTGTCAAAAGATCCAAACACCAAGGCTGCCTTTTCTCCTATGTGGGAGAAATCAGGAAGCCTTACACCCTCCCTAAGTCTCATACTTAGATCTCACCATTTCAGACCTATCCTAAGCTGTTTCCATTTCTATCTCTACTTAGTCTTCTTTAGATATTTACATTTTCTGGGAGGAATACTATATATGTTTACATACATATATTATTTACAGATATTGTCCCAGAGTATTTAAGGTACACTATAAAAGTACATAAAATACACAACAATAGAGAAAAATAAGTGAGTAAATTAGGCAAAGGGAAAATAAGGATAGGAAAACATTCAGATGAAGCTACAGGTGAGGTGAGCATACAAACGCATGCAATGAGGTTCTTCATCTTTGCTAAACATGAGTAACATGTAAGTTTCTCCCACTAAGGTGTGCTTTTAATATCAGATTTATTTCTGCTTGAAGGGCCCCGTATGGGATCATGAGCACAGTGGCTCTTTGGGTCTAGAAAGGGAGAGGGCTGTGTTGGGCAGGAAAGGCTCAGAGGAGAAGGGGTTGATGCTAGTCGGGAAGCCCTCGCCTTGCCCAAGACTGGGTCTCAACCTAATTCCCATCACTCCTTTGGTGTTTGTTCTTCCCAGTCTCCCACCGCCCAGTCCATCCCCACACGATACCCATGGTACTTACCAAGACCCAAGCAAGAAACTCTGAGTCCTGATTTTCCAAGATTCCTAGAATAAAAATAAAGCAAATCACGGTCATGACTTTCTCAGGTGAAACTATATACACTTAACTCTGAATCCTGTATCTCACTTTTGGCATTGTTTTGGACGAGAGTTGTGGTAGAGACAGAACTGCAGGTGCAGGTTTGTGGGCTTGGGAAGAGTCTCGCACCTCCATTTGGGTGCGAGGAGGCTCGAAATGTGCTTGGGTCCAGCACAGGATGAACATGTCCCCCACAAAATGCAGCTTTTCAGTCCCCCACAAAATGATCTTCTTCGCTAATTTGTTTACAAATCTAGTTTCTTTCTCTCTCTTTCTATAATGTGAGTTCCTTGAGGGCAAAATTTTTTTATTTTACCCACCATCCAGTCATTCATAATTCATTTATCGTTTATCCACAGAGCCTGACACACAGTGGACCCTAAACAAGTATTTCTTGGCTGAGCAACTAACAAACTGACTTCTAAAACAGAGTATTATTACTAATGGTTGGGGATTATTAGAAGAACAAACTCAAAATGATCCTTTAGGCTATTTAAGCTAACTTACAGATACCTCTGGACTTATGATGGGTTTATGTCCTGAGAAGCCCAATAAAGTTGAAAATATCCTAAGATGAAAATGCATTGAATTCACCTAACCCAGCAAACATCACAGCTTAGCCTAGACTCTCTTAAACATGCTCAGAACACTTATATTAGCCTATAACTGGGCAAAATTATCTAATGCAAATCCTATTTTATAATAGTGTTGACTATTTCGTGTAACTTTTTGACTACTGTACAGAAACTAAAAAAGAAAAAGGAGGAGGAGAAAGAGGAGGAAGGAAAGAAGGAAGAGGAAGGGTAAGATGAGGGGTAAGAAGAGAGGGAAGAGGAAGAGGAGGGGAAGGAGGAGAGGCAGGGGAGGAGGAAGAGGGGGAAGTGGAGGAGGAGGAAGAGGGGGAGGAAGGGGGGAAGAGGGAGGAGGAAGAGGAGGAAGAGAGGGAGGGGGAGGAGGGGGAAGAAAAGAAGAAGAAAGAAGAAAGAAGAAGAATGGTTGAAAGGGTCTGCAATGATTGCAGGTGTACTGGCTCTTTGCCCTCCGGATTGCAGGGCTGCCCGGGAGCTGCAGCCTCCTGCCCAGCGTCATGAGACAGTGTCCTAACATGTGTTACCTGCCTGGGAAAACATCCAAATTCAAAGTCTGAAGTATGGTTTCTACTGAAAGCACACGCCTTTCGCACCATCACAAAATTAAAAAAAAAAAAAAAAGAAACGTAACTCAAACCATCAGAAGTTGGGGACCATATTATGTCTTTATGAAAGGCTCCATAAAATTCTACAAGAAGGTGAGATACTGGGGCATCTGGGAGGCTCAGTCAATTAAGCATCTAACTCTGATTTTGGCTCAGGTCATGATCTCACAGTCCATGAGATCGAGCCCTGCATCAGGCTTTGCACTGACAATGCAGAGCCTGCTTGGGATTCTCTCTCTCTCTCTCTCTCTCTCACGCTCTCGCTCTCTCGCTCTCACTCTCCTCCTTTCCCTCCCCCCTGCTTGTTCCCCTTCCCTCTCAAAATAAACTGTTTAGAAAATTTTTTTAAAAGATCAGATAGTCCCTTTTAAATGATTATTGTTTCCTTTATCAATCCCTTTGCTTTTCATCCCTAAAAGCTTATCAGAAAGAGGGAGTACATTTTCACTCTCTACATAGAGAAAGAACTAAGCACTCTAGTCTTCATTCTAAGGTATTCCGTGGAGACCCACACCCATCCCATCTTCCTACCATTCTGCAGAACAGCTGTCCTAGAATAGATCAAATTCTCAGAGAAAGAACGCCTCATAGAATCTTGTAGGGGTCTAATGTGAGGAGGTGAAGCTTAAATAATTGATCACGGTAGAAATGTGCACCCCTTGCTCTCTGATCAGATGCTCTTAGGAGAACACAATCCTCCCCCACCTCCCACCTGCTTCTACCCCCAACAAGATAGCACAGATTTTTCCAACTGCCACACAGCTCAGTTCTTCCAAGTGCTCTCTTGATTCTCCCACAGTTTGGCTTCTTTAGAGGCTTCTTTAGAATTTGGCTTCTTTAGTGCTCTCATTTTCGCATCTATTTCTTTCTTCTGTTTATTATCCCTGTCTATAAAATGCCGCCTAAGCAACACATTTAGTTTCATAGCATAGTCCAAAGTGCAACACACTGTAAGGAGCTGAAAGACCTGGGTCTCTGACCTATTGCTGAAATTAACCAGGTAACCTCTGGGGTTCAATTTCTTCACCGGTAAAATGAGATATTAATGCCTGGGCCATTCACCTAGCCTCACATCTGTGGGATCGGAACGCAGTAACGCATGCTAAGGTGTTGAAGAGCAGACAAATGCAAAGCATAATTATTTTTGGTGCTTTCTGACTCTGCCCCCCTCTCACAGACCTAGTGCTACATTTTTCCATTTGAAGTGGGTGAGTCCACCTGGAGGGAAACTATTGCATAAACGAGTGTGTGAAAAACACTTTGAATCACTGAATAGGAGAAAAATAACTGGACTTCTCCCATGAAGGCAATTTGCGTAAGAAATTATCCTTTGAGTAGTTTCTCAGAGAACCACAGGATATAAAATTAGAAGATTTTTTAGTCTAAAGGCCTACTGATTTTAAAAAATAAAAATATAGAACAAAAGCTCTATAGTAGGGAGAATAAAAAAGACTACACCAAAACAAAAAAGTCTACTTATACGTACACAGATACGTATACATATATGTATATAGATACGTATCTGTATATGTATATAATAAACATTAAAAATAAAAACATAAAAAGTAGAAAAAACGTATACATATACGTATATACAGATACGTATCTGTATATACGTATATGTATGTAATAAACATCAAAAAATAAAAACATAAAAAGTAAAAAAAATAAGTACAGTAGACCCTTGAACGATGCAGATTTGTATTGCATGGGTCCATTATACATCGATTTTGTAAAAGTAAATACAGTACAATAAATATATTTTCTCTTCCTTATGATTTTTTTTTTCAGTTTTTTTTTTTTAATTTTTTTTTTTTAATGTTTTATTTATTTCTAGGAGAGAGAGAGAGAGAGAGAGAGCGTGAGCAGGGGAGGGTCAGAGAGAGAGGGAGTCACAGACTGAAACAGGCTCCAGGCTCTGAGCTGGCTGTCAGCACAGGCCCGACGCGGGGCCCGAACCCACGAACCGCGAGATCATGACCTAAGCGAAAGTCGGACGCTTAACCGACTAAGCCACCCAGGCGCCCCTCTTCCTTATGATTTTTTAAATAACATCTTCTTTTCTCTAACTCACTTTGTTGTAAAGATACAGTATGTCATACATGTAATATACAAAATACGTGCTGACTGCTTATGTTATCTGCAAGACTTCCAGTCAACAACAGGCTATTAGCAGCTACATTTTTGGGGACTCAAAGATTATACATGGATTTCAACTGCGCAGGGGGTCTGTGCCCTTACCCCTCGCACTGTTCAAGAGTCAATTCTGTATGTGACTAACAGTCTTCCAAGTAGAGATACTCAATACTGATGCATCAAGAAGAACTTACTGAGAGGTTACCACATTCCAGGCGATGTGCCACTCTTGGGGATACAGAGGGGAACCCATTCTGCTTTTCTACCTTCGGGGAGTTCTCTATCCCTACCTTTTCTGAGGGGCACAGAAAAGCAACCAGGTAACTACAGTACAGTAGGGTGTGTCCTCCCTGCATGCCTTTGGGAGAATATGGAGGGCCATCTCAGACCTGTATTCAAGGTAACTATGTGAATGTCACGGGGAAAAAATTTTCAGTAAGAATTTCCACTTAATTGTAATCTTTCCATGCTTCTGACAACAAAAGGGAGAAAACTATGCAGAGCAAGACATTGTTATGACAAACTCAAAGAAGGCAAGGTCATGTCACTGGGTACTTACTGAGTAACATCCCAGCACCAAGGTGGGGAGACTTGTCCTATTTTTCTTACCGCCATGACTTAGGAAGATAATGATCACTCTGCTATGGGTTTGGAAGATCAAACTTGAAAAACAAGAATTGCCAGCAAAAAAACCCTGCAAAGTAGCAAGCACTAAATGTGGCCCACTTTCTTGCCATTGATGTTTAAACACTCAGGCCAGCTTTTCTGGAATGAAGGCCTTAGAAGATTTTGTGCTATATGAAAAGTTCCATTACAAATGTTGATCCAGAGTTGATAGATCACGCATTGAACTTTGGTGTTTTTATTTCCTTCAGCTCTCTCTAAATGTCTTCACTCTCTGGAGGGAATGGTTATACAACTCAGGTGGTTGTTTTTAAAGTGAGAGACATTTTCTGTCATTAGCCATGTCTTGTCTCTAAATCCACTGCCCTTACTTTGTCCAGGGGTGGGTCTCTGTGAGACTCCTACTCTCTAAGACGTTTTTTTTTAAATTTTGAAAAATGTTTTATTTATTTTTGAGATGGGGGGAGGGCAAAGGGAGGGAGACACAGAATCTGACGCTGTCAGCACAGAGCCCAACGCGGGGCTCAAACTCACGAACTGTGAGATCATGGCCTGAGCCAAACGCAGCTGGACACTTAACCACCTGAGTCACCCAGGCACTCCACCCTGTAAGGCATTCTTAACACATGATGATACTTCTCATTCTGCGGATGTAGAAGGTGGAAGGAATCAATTCCCTCCAATTCAGCTCACAGAATTCCAACACAATTTCTGTGATTACAGAACGGAGATGTTGCAATTGTCCACTTATTCTGATCCATTCCAGCTCGGCTGGGAAGCCCAAATCCTGGACATATTTGATCCAGGGAGTACAGACAATATTATCAAAGCTTATTTGTGTGGCCATCCCACCAAATAATGGTCAGGTTTACATATCGTGCTAGGCTATAACAGCTATCACAGAACATTCTTCACCCCACATACAGAGTTTTCATGACTACCTCATGATCTTGCATGACTTTAAGCAACAAAACAACTTTACAGAATTTCATTTTATTTCCTAATCCCTCA